TATTAGTTGTATCTAGGTTACTGTTCATCACAATATTAAAGTCACCCCCACATATTAGTATTCCATCCGTTTCTAAGATAATGGTATCGAATAATGTTTTAAAGAATTGTTTTGAACTATTAGGTGGAGCGTACACATTAAGTAGTGTGACCATTTCGTTTTTCAGTTTTCCCCTCACAATAATAAATCTCCCTTCTTTATCACTATTTTTTTTTTAATACATTCAAATTTCACTGAAATGGGGATAAGTATAATCACACCTCTTCTACATCCATGATGATATGAACTGTAAAATTAGTTTGCATATCCGGAATATTCTACTTTTAAATACCCTAAGAGTAAGTCTAAGAGCAAAGACATTAACCATTTCTGAACTCAAGTTCATTTGGGGAAAAACCTTAATAATGTTAAGACATACCACACAAACTAAAACCTCCTCTTTCTGCTTGTTTTCACACAGCACTTCTTGACTTAAAGACTAGGGTATAGCACCATCTGCAGGCGGATAAAGACATTGCAGAGATTGTGGGATTCAGTCTGAGGGTGTAACAGGTGGTGGAGAGGTGCTTCTCTCTCTTCTTCTTTTGGAAAGACTGGGAGCTTGTAATAGACAGAGGAGAGAAAGGAACAAGATTAAAACAAAAATCGTCTCTGCCTGCTTGTCTGACAGGATCTTTGGATGCTTCTCAGTGAGGGGCAGCAACATCTTGGGATCGAAACAAAACAAATCCATATTTCAGTTACACTTAAAACTGACATATGGATTTATACAGATTCAATTATTCACTTATCATTTCAGCTCTCACTGGCTATCCAGTTTTTCCACCTCTTCTGTTTTGGGTGGACAGGAGACTATCTGCCAATACTGACAAGATACACAGGGCCACAATTTGAGGTTTGTTGCATCAAGAAAAGAGTAATACTGACAACGAGTAACACTCACACAAAAACTTAACTCATTATTCTCTGTGGGGGGATAAAACCTAAGAAAGGACAAACAAATAAAACAGGAAGAGATAAGCCAATGGAGAAAAAGGCAGACGGTGAGGGGACAAAAGAGCAGACTGTTGTTAGCCGTTCTAATGTAGGTAACGCAAAATACCAGTAAAATTTCCCTGTGACTGTACCCGGGGTGAATTGTGAGTAATCCTTAGGCTGCCATCAGCTTAATGTCTATAGTGACACCATTTGAAATCATGTTTCAGCAATAGTTCTGTTTAATTTGAGTTCACATTGACATAAATGTGTGGAAAGTGCTGAGCACAGGTA